TTTTTTTTTTTTTTTTTTTTTTCTGGAAAGGAAACCACTAGAAAGATAGTAGTTTCTAAATGACAGTACATGTTCCAATTGTTGACATTTTAGACTCTATAAAGTAATTTATATTTTGTCTCTATTATTGGGATATGTATTAGTCTGTTCTCATACTGCTAATAAAGACATACTCGAGACTGGGTAATTTATAAAGGAAAGAGGTTTAATGGACTCACAGTAACACATGGCTGGGGAGGCCTCACAATCATGATGGAAGGCAAAGGAGAAGCAAAGGCATGTCTTACATGGTGGCAGGGAAGAGAGTTTGTGTAGGGGAACTCTCCTTTATAAAACCCTCAGATCTCATGGGACTTATTCACTATCACGAGAACAGCATGGGAAAGAACTGCTCCCGTGATTCAATTGCCTTCCATTTGGTCCTTCCCACAACATGTGAGAATTATGGGAGCTACAATTCAAGATGAGATTTGGGTGGGGACAGAGCCAAATTACATCAGGATGTAATCTCATTGAGGATGAATTTTTATATTATTTGTCCTTATATTAGAAGAAGGTCCCCTGTGTATTCACGCTGATTTAAATACTAAGTCAACTTATATTGTTAAATGATATATTTATTTATAAATATATCATTTATATTGTTAAATGATATATTAATTTCAGGTAGTAATCTCCAGATTAGTAAGGATTAGTAAATTGGTTGGCCATACACAATCAGAGATTTAATAGCATCATTTGTTGTTTATGTTGCAAGAAAATTATTTTGTAGATGAAGTGGCTTTGTTGAAAACTTTTTGTATTTTTGTTTTACTGTTTGGAGATGATGTAGAGATGTGAGGAAAATTAAATTTAAAAATGTGTATGATTTTCTTGAAATAAATTGCAGTAGAAATCAGGTAACATTTTAAGTTTTAGTATCAAACTGGAATAATATTTGATGACATAGCAATGTATATGTTTTTGAAAGTTATAAAACTTGAAACAACAGGCTGGCAAAGTCTGTTGAATAACAGTGTCAGTAAGTGGATTATGATAGCTAGAATATTGAAACATCAGGTCTCAGTACTATTTGAAAGTACATTCTTCTGTGAATAAAGAACAACTGTTGAGCCTTCCGTTTTGTCTTTTAAGGGGTTGAGCGGGAAAAACAGGACCTGGAGAAGCAAATGTCAGATTTGAGAGTGCAGCTGAACTTCAGTGCAATGGCATCTGAGTTAGAGGAAGTGAAACGGTGCATGGAGAGAAAAGACAAGGAGAAAGCACATTTGGCATCACAAGTAGAGGTGACTTTGCTCTTTTTAAGCCATATTTGCAGTATTTTAATTTTATCTCATGGAATTGTGTAATGAAATTTTAATATAAAGATGTGTTATTTTATGAACTCTAGTTTGAGCATTGATAATATAAAGTTACATTAATGGCTAATTTACTTATATGTAGAAATTCCTATGTATTCATTTCTCTTTCATTCAGGACCCCAAAGCTAGGAACCTGGATTATTTTCCTTTATTATTTCACAGAGAAATCCTTTACTATTTTTAAATTTGAAAATATTTTTGTTCTAATAGCAATTGAACCCTTTCTACAGACAGAAGGGACATTTTTTCTTTGAGAGAACAGTGAATTATTATTTATTTTGTGGGTGAAACTTGCATAATGCATAGTGAAAAGGTGTTACTGATAATTCTTCTTTGGAACCATAAAGGTTTTCAGACCTCTAGTTGTTGTGCATGAGGTGGAATTGCGATGCCTCCATTAATTTAGAGTTGTGTAGCAATCATGGATGATGTGGTAACCATGAATGAAGTATAACTAGGCAGCTACCATTTCCTGCTTTTATCTAGCATAGATGAGGTAATTATTGGTATATATTGAAAATCAAAGGAAAGGACCTCATAAAAGGAAATGGTTTAATTCAAATTACAATTATATTAGATTAAACATGGATGACACATTTGGAAATAGATATGTATCAGTCATCCCTGTATCTGTTTTTATGAGTGAAGTTGTATTCTAATTTGAAGTATTTCCAAAATTAAAATGAAAGGTAGAAAATTGGTGTTAAAAGCACCTAATTTTATATAACCCAAAGGAAATATTTAATGTTACTCGTCTGTGTTTCTCTTTCATCTTGTCAGCACATCAGTAGAAAATGTCTTTTAAATTTAGTTCAAGATTCAGATTGTAAAGATAATGAAATATTGACATACTCTTTACAAAGCCCTCTACATGTTTAATAAAGACTTGCTTGAAATTGTCTCAGAGCAATGGTAATTATACAACTTTTAAAGTTTTCTTCATGGGTATTATTTTAGCCCTTGATCTTGCTGATGAAAATGCTAAAATATGATTATTTTGCTGAAGTCACGTATTTAAAAAAAAAAACTATGCTGGTTAGATCTAAAAGGTAGAAAAATCCCTTTGCTTTATGTTCATAACCACACGTTGGTCCTCCCTCCCTTCTTTCCTTCCTTCATATTGTTTCTTTTCACTTGCCATCGTGGTATAAATTGGAAAAAAATCTCAAATATGTGAGCACTAAAAAAATTATTTATAATAGCCTAATAATGCTCTTATTCAAGATTCCTGGCTTTCTCCTTGTCCTAACTGAATAGTTCTTTTCAATTTCATATGGGTTAGGGGAAGAATTTGAGTCCTCTTGGGTTAGTTTGGTTTGGTTGTATAGAGTTTGGGTGTGAAAAACAATTGTAGGAAAGGTTTTTACAACACATCAAATATTACTGACTGCCTGTTACATGCCAGACACTGTTCTAGGTGCTGGCAACATAGCAAAGAACACAAATGCAGCCGATTCCTTGTTTCTCACAGTGGATCTAAAATTGATGCAGGCTGGGAGCAGTGGCTTGTGCCTGTAGTCTCGGCTACTCAGGAGAATGAGGTGAGAGGATTGCTTGAGCCAGGAGTTCAAGGCTCCAGCGAGCTGTGATTGTGCCACTGCATTCCAGCCTAGGCGATATAGTAAGACTCTGTCTCTAAAAAATAAGTAAATAAAAATAAAATTGATGCAGAAAGTTCTTTGAGTTTGTCTTGCTTCTAAGAATAAATTTCTTTTTGAGAATGAAAGTTTTTTTTTTTCCAGTTGCCATTGCAAAGGACATCACAAAGACAGTGTTTATCCCTGTAAGACATTAACATTAACTAGTCTTATTTTTTCTGATTTTCTTGTTTTGAAGAATAAAATAGTTAACTAAATTTGCAACTGTTTCTGATTTAGTGACACTTCTGATTATGCTTTGTTTTTCATTATAAAAGAACTATTAAGGTAGAACAAGTGTGCTGTCCGTATCACTAATGTTCTTATGGCACCTTTTGGAGGCCATTTGAATATCTTTGTTCCCAAGCTATTCTCAAAGTGATGTCTCATGCAGACTTTGTGAGATATTAGGTCATAGATTACTTGATTGTAACCTCTAACAATTGAAATTTTTTTCTTGAAATTTAGTCTCTGCTTTATTTTTAGAGAATATTGGGTAGTATGAAGATGTTGCCTTATACATTCTATTAAAAAAGAGAGATTACTCTTCTTTAGTTGCTTTTCACAGACCAAATATGAATAAAAAAGATGCACAAAATGAGATCATTGGTCAGGCCCAAGAACATATATATAGTAACAGTTCTTATGACTTATTTAATCATTAATGTCTTTCTTTTTAACCTTCATTTTCTGACACCTCTCCTACAGAACCTCATATGTGGTATTGTCAAATAATTCCTTTTTTCTTAAACTTCCCTACTCAGTTCCACCATTTTTTTTTCCTTTGTTCCAGTTGTTCATTGTTTCTGTGAACAACTTTGCATGTCTTTTCTTTTTGTGGAAATCCTAAACTTTTTCCACCATGAAGCCTTTTTGGATTATATCAGCTGTAAGTGATCATTATTCTTTTTGAATAATCCTTTTGTCCATATCACTAATATACTTATGGCACCTTTCTCATAGTCTCTTGAAGTAATCTGGGTATGTTTTGTTAGACATTTCAAAGTGGGGCCAGGCATGGTGGCTCATGCCTGTAATCCCAGAACTTTGGGAGGCCAAGGCAGGTGGATCATCTGAGGTCAGGAGTTCGAGACAAGCCTGGACAACATGGTGAAACCCCATCTCTACTAAAGATACAAAAATTAGTCAGGTGTGGTGGCAGGTGCCTGTAATCCTAGCTACTTGGGAGGCTGAGGCAGGAGAATTGCTTGAACCTGGGGGCGGAGGTTGCAGTGAGCCGAGACTGCATCACTGCACTCCAGGATGGGTGACAGAGATGCCATCTCAAAAATAATAATAATAAAAAAATAAAAATGCAAAGTGGGCCAAAATAAAGTAGAAAAGGAGACTCAGAAAAAAGCCAGCTGCACTGTCACCAAGACAGAGTGAACTTTGGTGCCCTTACCTTGGTGGAGACATCATGTTTCAAGGTCTTGTCCTCATATCTGGAAACTTGAGTCTTCTGTGTGTGACCCAGGAGACTGGCTCATATTAACAGTGAAACTCAGAAGAGAGAAGTATAGGTCAGTGCAAAAGTAATTGCAAAAACCGAGATTACTTTTGCGCTGACCTAATATACAAAAGAGTACCACTTCACTGATTTACCCTGTGGGAGTCCTATACGGATATGAAAACATTATTCTGTTATGCAGGGCACCAATCAGTTATAGTAGAACTTCTCAACCTCCCACCTCCCTTTTTACAGAGTCCTTCTAACCAGAGATACTGTTTACTTCAGCTAGATTCTATGTCTTTATTTCTGGAGTGTGTTGAACTGGCATCTCTTCTCATTCCAGCAATCTTCTATGCTTTCACTCTGATGCTCAGTCTAATGTTTAATTTTTCTTTTGATATGTTGCCGTGCACAGATTTTGCTCTGGGCCACTTACTAGTATGCACTGATGTTATAATTCAGAGTTGTGGCATTCTGGGAGCCACTTATGAATTTAAAGCTTCTATTCCTGTTCAGATTATAAACGGGTTAAGAACCAAGTTTTATCTCTGTGTCCTTGTGTGTTCCCACACAGTCTTACCTATACTAGGTACTTAATTAATATTTGTTGAATGAAATAATATGTTGTAAAAAGTTTATGGTTTTTTTTAAAGCTAATGTTTGCTCTCTAGTCATTTCTTAAAAACACATCCATTTCTGGAAGATTTGTCAGTATTTAACAGGAACTTTGCTATCTATATCTTACTAATTGCATTAGTTTTTGTTGATCCAGAATATGTATTTCAAGCAGTTGTTTTACATTAGAGAAAAACAGTAAAAATGGCTCTTAAAAAAACAATGGAAGGAAGCTACATTTGAGTTTGCATAATTTACCTTTTAAATTGTACCTAAGGCCTTAAATCTGTATATGCATAGAAAATACTAAGTACACTTTTCCCTTCTTCTAAACTCAAGTTGAACCTCATTAACCTTGATAGCCTATTTGTATTCATAAGAATTCCAAGCATCCTTGATCAATTATTTCCCCTGATTTAATCTTTGCCTCCATCTTCCATCAACTTACTCTTCTGGAAAAATATTTGACTTTTAAATTCAAGGAAGAACTTCAAAGAAAGAAAAAAGGTGCTGAACATAATTTAGATTAAATGTTGAAAGTGATAATTGAGTGACAACTGACATGATAATTCATTAGCAGAAACTTGAGACTATAATGGGAAATTTTAATTTGTTTAAAAAAGAAGATGGTGGAAAAGAGAAAGGATAGTCAATAATACCTTATTTTTATGATTAGTACAATGCAAATAGAAGGAAGGTTGTTTCTGTTACGATTCTTTTAGTATAAACTCTTGATTCATGCATTTCTTCCATAGAGCTGACCATTTTACTGTACGATGACAATGCCCGCTTCAATATTACTTTTAATAATGAGATTAAACCCTCTTTGGAGACCAAAGAAAGACCTTAGAGACCTTAATTACCCTGGTTGTAATTTCATATTCTACTTCATTTTTAAAATCTTAATTTCTTCCTTATCTAAGTGCATATTGTAAAATATGCTATTACCTGAATAGGAAGTAATTTTTAATACCTAGATTAGATTATAAAGAAAACAAACATTGGCCACAAACATTGGCCACAACTTTGTAGAGAGAAGCTATTAATAAAGTTATTGCATCTAGTGGAAAGGAGGTCTATTTCTGTTATTAACCAAATGTACTCTGATTTGTGGGCAGATTACTAAATGCTCCATACTTTTGTATTTTTCACAAAGATGACTATTGGCAGAGATTTATTTATTTATTTATTTATTTATTGAGACAGAATATTGCTCTGTC